TACATATATCATACATTTGTGCATAAAGATGAAAAATCATTATATTTATCTGAGTCTACATTTTGGAAATTTGATGTTGGGATTACCGAATAAATGTTTATTTGTTTGACTTTTTTATTAAATATAAACATTCTAGAAAGTACTGTCACGTGTCTCGCTATGCAGAAATTTCTCCGGAAAGTACATAGCTTTTTTAACACATTCTCTCGCTGGCAAAAAAAAAAAAAAAGAAACGTTTTTACTGCAACGTTTTGCTTTCTTGAGAACGTTTGCAGGTTTCAAATTCACTCCGGTGGATTTTCTTTCGAAACGTTTGGATGACTTTATGCGGTGCTGTTGAAGTCACCGTGTGAATTCCTTTTTTTTCAAATTTGTAGTCTAAGAAATCGATGCAGTTCAGCGGCCATTGAAGTTATCCTCGAGTGTCCATCTCTGTTATCATCTTTACTTATATATCCTATAGTGAGAAAGAGAGAGAGAAAGAGAGAGGCAGACAGACAGAGAAACAGAGACAGAGAGAGAGACGGAGAGAGAGAGAGAGAGGAGAAGAGAAGAAGAGAAGAGAGAGAAGAGAAAGAGAGAGAGAGAGAGAGGAGGAGAGAGAGAGAGAGAGAGAGAGGGCAGACAGACAGAGAATGGGAGAGAGAGAAAGAGAGAGAGAGAGAGAAATCGAGAGAGAAGGAAAGCAAGGCAAACAGATAAAGAGATAGACAGACAGGCAATCAGATCCTAGAACCAAGCAATATGAATAGAAAACGTTCATTGTAAACAAACGTTTCCGAAACCCGAGAAAATGGCGGGAAAATAAAGAATCATCAACGGTTTATCATTTTATTTTTATTTTTCATTTTTGTCCTTCCTTTTTTTTGTATCTTTTTTCCCCTTTTTATTTCTGTCGTCGTCCGGCTTTGCCATTTCACAATAAATCATGCATTTTAAACCGTAAAGGAGTGCCCATTGAAGACAAACTAGGAGTTTTAATCATTGCATCACTCTACTATTCACGCAGTGCGCGTGGTGCTGTGTGGGTTACAGGGGGGGGGAAAGGAGGGGTGGGCAGCAGTCGTCGTTCATATCTTAGACCGTCCCGCAAGTTCTTCGGTTATTATGTGGGTTATTTGGAGGGGGTTGGGCTGGGGGAAGTTCTGATCGTTCGGGGGCGCGTCTATCTTTATTGCATCATAATGGACCGCGGGCGGAACATGGGTTGGAGGCGGCTCGGGGAACCGGGTGGGCTGTGGTGCGGGGTGACAAGCGTGGTGGGCCGCTATCGGCGTCTTTTTGCTGGCGGCTCGGCAGTCTGTGGCCGCCTGCCTCGTCTCCTCTGTCCGTCTGATTCTCTCCGTCCGTCCTTTGGCGCGGTATGTCCGTCCTCGCTCCACCATCCTCAGGTTCCTCTTTGCCTCTGCCGGTGCGCTCTAGCTAGCCGCTGGCGGCAAGTGGGGGCACTTTTTCCGGCGTGTCCGTCCTTGGTCCATCCGCGTGCCCGGGGTCTGGTGTGCGTTCTTCTTGGCGGCCCGTGCGGGGGTTCACCCTCTGGCTTGGGGCTCGGGGCTTCGTCTGCTTTATGGTGTGGCTTGGAGGGGGTCCTTCTTCCATCCTACCTCAGTTGCGCCTGCGGTGCGGCTGCGGCTCCTCTCCTCTCCTCCTCTTCCTTCGCTCACTCCCTCCTCCTCATCCCCTCTTCGCCTCCCCATCCTGCCTCCTCTCGCTCCCTCCTCCTTCTCCTCCTTGGTTTTCCTCCTCTCTCTCTCTCCTCATCGCTCCTCCTCCTCCTCCTCCTCCTCTTCCTTCCCCTCCTCCTCTTATCCTCTCCTCCTCCTCGCCCCTCACCCTCTCCTCTTCCCCCTTCCTCCTCCTCACTCTCCCTCTCTCCTCTTCTTCCTTTCCCTCCCCCTCCTCCTTCCTCCTCCTCCTCTTCTTATCCCATTCCCACGCAAGTAATGTAACTTTAATCGAGATTATTGCAGATAATCGCGGTCTGCAACATAGTTTAGGAATGGCGAAGGGGGTGGGAAGGGGGAGGGAGGGACAGGAAGGAGAAGGAGGGAGGGGGGGGGAGGGGAAGAGGAGGGGGGGGGAAGGGTGAGAGGCAGGAAGGAGGAAAGACTGGAGATGCGTGGGGAAGGGGATGGGGAGGGGGATGGTTGGGGGGGAGGGGAAGGAGAGGGAGGAGGAAGGGGAAGGGAATGAGAGGGAGGGGGAGAAAGGAGGAAGGAGGAAAGAGAGGAGAGGGGTGGGGACGGAAAGGCAGGAATAGGAAGAGGAAGAGGGGGAAAAAGTGGAAAAAGGGGTGGGGGAAGGAAGAAGGGAAAATAAGGGGCATGAAAAATGGAAAGGGAAAGGGAGTGGAAGAGAGGAGAGCGACTAAAGAGGAAAGATAATAGAAAAGAGAAGAGGAGAAGGAAGGGAAAAGAAGTGAAGGGGAGGTAACAGAAAGGAGAAGAGAAGGAGAGGAGAAGAGGAGGCGAGTGAAGAGAGAACTGGGCGAAGGAAATGTTAGAAGAGGACTTGCAGAGGAGGAAGTAGGGACACGATGGTCGCTCTTGACATTACGAATAGGCGGGATTTTGGGCCTTATGTGTTTACCAAGAGGTAAGAGCAGGTGTCGGTCTCGAACTAGACTGTATTTCCTTTTTTTCTTCTTCTTCTTCTTTCTTTCTTCTTCCTTTTGAGATCTCTGTTTTTATTTTCCTTTTTTTCCTTTTCTTTCTTGTTCCTTTTGATATATGTTTTTTTTCTTTTTCTTCCTTTATTTTCATTCTTATTCGCCTTCTTCTCTTCTTTTTCATTCTCCTTCTTCTTTTCCTTTTCATTCTCCTTCGCATTTTTCTTCGTCTTCTTAATACTTTTTTCCATTTCTTCAATCTTCTACTTCTTCATCCTCCTCCATATCCCCTTTCTTTTCTTTTCTTTCTTCTTTTTCTTATTGTTCTGCTTCTTTTTCTTTTCTTTTCTTCGCTTTTGTCACATCACTGATTATAATCTTTACTTATATATCTTATAGTGAGAGAGAGAGAGAGAGAGAGAGAGGAGAGAGAGAGAGAGAGAGAGAGAGAGAGAGAGAGAGAGAGAGAGAGAGAGAGAGAGAGAGAGAGAGAGAGAGAAAGAGAAGAGAAAGAGAGAGAAGAAAGAGAGAGGAGAAAGAGAGAAAGAGAGAGAGAGACAGACAGAGACAGACAGAGAGAGAGAGAGAGAGAGAGAGAGTGAAGAGAGAGAAGAGAGAGAAAGAGAGAAAGCGAGAGAGAGAGAGAGAGAGAAAGAAAGAAAGAGTGAGAGAAAGAAAGATAGAAAGCGAGAGAGAGAGAAAGAAAGAAAGAGAGAAAGCGATAAAGCGAGAGGAGAGAGGAGAGAGAGAAAGAAAGCGAGACAAACAGACAAACAGACAGACAGACAGACAGACAACCAGATCCTAGACCCAAGCAAACGGCGAGGATAGGACAGGCCGCCCACAAGGAGAAGAAGGAAGATGGGCAAACAGATAGCTTAGAGAACCACGGGCGGGCTGTCTATGCTAATCCATTCTCGTTTCCTAAACCATCAGGAAAATGGGAAAAGAAATGGAGCATCTCACACCCCTCCTCTCCCCCTCCCTCATCTCCCCCCCCTCTCTCCCCCTCCCTCATCTCACCCCCCCCCCCTTCCCTCAATCTCACCCCCCTCTCCCCCTCCCTCATCTCCCCCCCCCTCTCCCTCATCTCACCCCCCTCTCTCCCCTCCCTCATCTCACACCTCTCCCTCCCTCCCTCCTTCCCTCTGTCCTTCATCATTCAACTTCTTTTCTTTTCATTTCTCTCCCCTCCTCCTCTCTCTCCTCTTTCCTCCTTTCATACATCTTCTACTCTCGTATTCACCCCATTCTCCTCCACCCCTTCACCTCTCCCCACTCATACACCCCTCCCTTATCCCCATTCTCCCTCCCACCCCCTCTTCCCCATTCACCCTCCTTACACATCCCACACCGTCCTCCCCCATTCACCCCCTCCCCACTCTTACACCCCTCCCCTCCCTCCTCGCTCCCCTTCCCCCCTCTCCCCCCCATTCACCCCTTCCTTACATCCCACCCCCTCTCCCCCCATTCCACCCATTCCCTCCCTCCCACCCCTTCACCCCCCCTCCCCCATTCAAACACCGCTGCCCCTCCCTCCTCTCCTCCCTTCCCCCCCCCCCACTCATACACCCTCCCCCTTCCCTCCCCCCCCCCCCCCATTCACCCGTTCCCTTCCTCCGACCCCTTCCCTCCCTCCCACCCTCTTCACCCCCATTCACCCGTTCCCTCCCTCCGACCCCTTCCCTCCCTCCCACCCCCTTCAGCCCCCTATACACCTCCTCCCGTTCCCTCCCCCTCCTCCCCTTCCCTCCCCCCCTATTCAGCCCATCATTTATGAGGCGATTTCCATGGGTGAGAGAATGAGGGAATCATGTCGTTGCTTTCGTGTTCAGAGACTAACCGTTTTTTTTTCCCCGATTTCAAAATTCTCTAGATTCCTCCTCTCATTGGTTCCCTTTCGAGGGCCGTTAGTCTGTTATTTTTTGTCTTTTTTTTGTTTTGTTGTTTTGTCTGTTATCTTTGTTTTTTTTGTTTGTTTTTTTTTTTTCGTTTTGTCTGTTATCTTTGTTTATTTTTGTTTGTTATCTTTTTCTTTCGTTTTGTTTGTTTTCTTTTGTTCTTTTCGTTTTGTCTGTTATCTTTTTTCTTTTTTCGTTTGTCTGTTATCTTCGTTTCGTCTTTGTCTCTTCGTGTTACCCTGTCTTTTCTCTCTTCGTTTTCTCTTTTCGTATTTTTCAGCTCGTGTCAAATTCAGAAGAATACTTTCGAATACGGTTCGAAGAGAAGTGGAAGTGGGAAAGTAGAGAGAGAGAGAGGAGAGAAGAGAGAGAGAGAGAGAGAGAGAGAGAGAGAGAGAGAGAGAGAGAGAGAGAGAGAGAGAGAGAGGAGAGAGAGAGAAGAGAGAGAGAGAGGAGAGAGAGAGAGAGAGAGAGAGAGAGGAGAGAGAGAGAGAGACAGAGACAGACAGAGCAGAGAAGAGACAGAGACAGAGACAGAGAAGACAGGACAGACAACAGACAGACAAACTGACACAGACAGAGAGAGAGAGAGAGAGAAAGGGAAAGAGAAAGAAAGAGAAGGAGAAAGAAAAGAAAGAAAAAAAGAGAAAAGAGAAAGAAAGAAAGAAAGAGAGACAGACAGACAGGCAGACCGACAGACAAAGAGAAAAAAAATCCCCGACATTGGCAAGACGGAGAGTAAAAAAAACGAAAATAAGAAAAGAAGAAAATAAAAAAAAGAAAAAAGAAAAAAAATAGAAAGATAAAAAACAGGAAAAAAAAAGAAAAAAATTATCCCACAATCATATCCCTTTTCAATCACAGGCACCTTCTCTCGGCACTCAAGACGTCACATAAGGTCGAAAATTGGATAATCGCTCGTTGATGTATGTAGTTCCCCGGATGATTCTTTTGAAGTCTCCCCCCCCCACCTTGTACAGGGTGTGGAGGAGGGGGAGGGAGGAGAGGGGGTAAATCAGGCATTACACACACATTTTATCTTAATACCGGCCCCTTCTCGTTCTAAATACAACCCCTTTCTTTTAATACAACACCTTTGCATTTTTATACAACCCCTCCTTCATTTTATACAACCCTTGTCCCTTTAATAAAACCCTTCCCTTTTAATACAACCCCCCCATAATACAACCCCTTCCCCCCCTATAATACAACCCCTTCCCCCCTATAATACAACCCTTCCCCCCTATAATACAACCCCTTCCCCTATAATACAACCCCTTCCCCCCTCCCCCTATACTACAACCCCCCTATAATACAACCCCTCCCCCTCCCCTATAATACAACCCCTTCCCCCCTCCCCCTATACAACCCCTTCCCCTCCCCCTATAATACAACCCCCTTACCTTAACACAATTCCGAGATTACACGGATCTCTTCGCCAAACAAAACAAACAAACAAACAGACAATTAAACAACCCCCCCCCCCCCCGCCATCTCCTCTTCATCATCTTGGTCTTAAATTCACTCAAGAAACCGGTAATTTCTTGGCCATTTCCGATATTTTGGCAAATTCCAGAAGACATTCATGGAGACTTTTATTTTGAGTTATTTGTTTACTCTCTCTCTCTCTATCTCTCTCTCTCTCTATCTATCTCTTCTCGATCTCTTTCTTTCTTTCTCTCTCTTCTCTCTGTCTCTGTCTCATTCTCTTTCTGTCTCATTCTCTCTCTCTGTCTCATCTCTCTCTCTCTCTCTCTCTCTCTCTCTCCTCTCTCTCTCTCTCTCTCTCTCTCTCTCTCTCTCTCTCTCTCTCTCTCTCTCTCTCTCTCTCTCTCTTTGAACTAGATTGGGGGTTCTAGATTGACTTGTGATGGATATTATGAGTTGGATTAGATTTAGATTGGATATAAGGAACAGTGAGATTTCGACACACACACACACACACACACACACACACACACACACACACACACACACACACACACACACACACACACACACACACACACACAATTAACCCCCAACCACCACACACACTTAAGCATATACGAAGGAAGATACGCATATCTTACATTTAGTTTTTTTTTTTTTTTTAATGTGCTTTGAGAGAGAAAAAAAATAAATACAAGCTATTTTGTCTTCCTTTGAAAACGGCCAAAAATCTACATTTAGGTTTAAAAAAAAAATGGGAAAAAAATACAAGCAATTTTGTCTTCCTTTAGAAAACGGCCAAAAATCTACATTTAGGTTTAAAAAAAAAATGGGGAAAAAAAATACAAGCTGTTTTGTCTTCCTTTTGAAACGGCCAAAAATCTACATTTAGGTTTAAAAAAAAATGGGGAAAAAAATACAAGCTATTTGTCTCCTTTTAAAACGCCAAAATCTAACATTTAGGTTTAAAAAAAAAAAAAAAAATGGGGAAAAAAAAATACACGCTATTTTGTCTTCCTTTTGAAAACGGCCAAAAAGTCGACATCAACTTGTACATCACTCGTATTTTGACTCGCCTGTGGTCACTCCGCCAAGAACGTGTGATTAAGTTGTTTCTCACGTTATTACATTAACTACGAATTTCCTTCTTCCCATGACGATCCGACCCCCCCTCCCCCCCCTCTCTCTCCCTCTATCCCCCCCCTCCCTTCAGTGACTTCAATTCTCTCGTTTCCTCCTCCCCCTCTCCCTTTCCCTTCAACAGCTTCCCCTTCTCTCTCCCTCCCTGCTCCCCTCTCTTACTCCTCCTCCCATCCAGCCCCCTCTTTCTCCTCCCTGTTCCCTTCCCCTTCTCTTCCTCTCTCTCCCTCCCTGCTGCCTTCCCCTCCTTCTTCCTCCTCCCTACTCCTCCCTTCCCTTCCCTTCTATCCCTCCCCCTCCCATCCAACCCCTTCCCCTCCCTCGCTTCCTCCCTCCTTCCCTCCTACCCCTTCCCCTTCTCTCCCTCTCCCCCTCCCTGCTTCCTTCCCCTTCCCCTCCCCCCCCACCCCACACTGTCGCTGCGAAAGTCTTCTGCCGCCATACTTTCGCCCCCCCCCCCCCCCCCCCGCCCGCCTTCCCTCCTCCCTTCTATCTCATCAGTCTGTTTCTACTAAGTCTGTCTCTTGGTATTTCTCCTTTTCTTATCTCTTTATCTCTTTCTGTTTCTTTTAATTCTATGTTTCATTTTGTCCTTTCTTTATATGTTTTTCACTTTTTCTTTTGTTTTTTCTCTTAATCTTTCCTATCTCCTGTTTATTCCTTTAACTCTCTCTCTCTCTCTCTCTCTCTCTCTCTCTCTCTCTCTCTCTCTTCTCTCTCCTCCCTCCTCTCCCTTCCCTCCCTCTTCCTCCCTCCCTCCCTCCTTCCTCTCCCTCCTACCCTCCTCCCTCCCTCCCTCCTCCCTCCCTCCTATTCCCACTCCTTCCCTCCCTCCTCCCTCCCTCCCCCTCCCCCACGATCCCCTATTTCAAGTCATAACTGTACAATTGGGAGCAGATTTGTGCACTTGTACAATACCGGTAAACACAGGCCCCCGCTACCGCCAAGATTCAATTTGGAAGAAGAAAAATCGGGGATAAATACATGGATACGAACAGTTACAAGATATGAGTCCTAAAGTTAAGGAGAGAGAGAGAGTGAGAGAGAGAGAGAGAGAGAGAAAGGGGGGGAGAAGGAGGTGGAGAGAGGAGAGTAGGGGTGGAGGATTGGGGAGAGAGAAGGGAGGAGAGGTGGGAGGGGAGGGTGCGGAGTTGGATAATTGGGGGAAAAGAGAGGGAAGAGGCAGGAAGGAGAGAAGGAGGAGGAGGATAAGGAAGGAGGAGGAGAAGAGAGGAAGAGAGAAGGAAGGAGGAGGAGGGAAGGGGAGGTGGGGGAAGGCGGAGGAGAGAGGAAGAGGGAGGGAAAGTAGAAGGTAGGAAAGAGAGGTGAGAGGGAGGGGGAAGAGGAAAAATGAAGGAGAGGAAAGAACAGGAGTTTGAAAATAGAAGGATAGAGGAGAGGAAGGAGGGAGAGGAATGAGGGAGGAGGAAGAAGAAGGAGAGAGGTCAGAGATAGGGGAAAGAGGGGAGAATCAGAGTAGGGGGGGAGGGAAATATTCAACCATTAAGGAAAGGCCGGAACGAAGGAACAGCAGCAAAAACAGGAAAACCAACAGCAAGAATTAGCAGGAGAACACATGGCAGCAGGAACAAAAGAACTTAACTGCTGAAACAGGAAAACGGCAGCAGGAACCAACAGCCAGCAAGACCAAACAAAGGAACAGCCAACAACAGTAAGAGAACCAACAACAGCAGGAACAAGAGAACAGCAGCAGGAAACAAAGAGAACTAACAGCTGAAACGGGAAAACCAACGGCAGAGAAAAGGAGAACCAAAAGCAGCAGGAAGCAGAGAGACTAACAAGCAGCAGGAAACAAGAGAGAAAACCAAACACAGAGAAACAAGAGAACCAACAAGCAGCAGAAAACTACAAGCTGACAGAAGAACGAGAAGCCAACAAGCAGAGCAGGAGACAACCAACAACAGAGCAAGCAGGCAAACAGGAAAGTGAGAGAACCAACAGCAGCAGAAACAAGAGATAACCAACAACCAGCAGAAACAAGAACCCAACAGCAGCAGAGAACAAACAACAACAGCAGGAACAAGAGAACCAACAGCAGCTGAAACAGGAGAACCAACGGCAGCAGGAAACCAGAAACAAGAACAACAACAGCAGGAACAAGAGGAACCAACAGCAGCAGAAACAAGAGGAACCAACAGCAACAGCAGGTACAGCAGGTCACAATAAAATCATAAAACGGACGCGCTGTAAAACCGGCCGCCTGCATATCTTAGCCGAGAGCACCGATCGTGGGACGTAGAGCGGACCTTCTTCGGTTTATTTATAACGAAGTCGTGTTGCCTGAGATGGAGACGAGGAGGAGGAGGAGGAGGAGAGGAGGAGGAGGAGGAGGAGAGAGGAAGAAGAAGAAGAAGAGAAGAAGATGGAGGAGGAGGAGGAGGAGGAGGAGGATGGTGATGATGGTGATGATGATGAGGAGGAGGAGGAGAGGAGAAAAAGACATGATGATGATGAGGAGGAGGAGGAGAAGGAGGGATGGTGATGATGATGATGATGAGGAGGAGGAGGAGGAGGAGGAGAATGGTGGTGATGATGATGATGATGAGGAGGAGGAGAATGATGATGATGATGAGAGATGAATGGAGAAGAAGAAAGAACGAAAGAAAGAAAGACCAAGAAATCGAAGAAGAGCCCGAAAATAACCAAAGACGAAAAGCGGAAAAATACAAAAAAAAAAATCGAAACACGAATAACAAACAAAAAAAAACGAAAACAAAAACAAACAAAACAAAACAAAAGAAACCCGAGGAAGGACACACGAGGCCCACGTAGCTCCCCTCCCCCCTCCCCCTCCCCCTATCCCACCCCACCGCCACCCCCCCTCCCACCCACCCCAACCCTCTCGGACACGTAGTCCTCCTCCTCCCCTCCCCTCCCCCCCTCCCCCTCTCCCACCCCC